ACACTGGAGGAAAGTTTCTTTTCCTCCCTAGGTGGTTATACTGTCCTCGACAAGGCTTGAGCATTAACTTTCATCTGTGGGAGGAAAAGATACACTTTCCTCCTTGTAATACTATTACAATAATAATATGTAAATAAATAAAAAATTAATTAACAAACCTAATAAAATATGAGAGTAAAAAATATTAGGAACAAAAAAATGGTTATTACTTCTTTATTTTACCAATATTGTTACGTTTGCGTTCTTTTAAATACCTACGTCACCATTTATGGTTTTGCGTTTTAAATGTTATGTCTTTTTTCTCCAATACTTACATTCTGCTCGTTTTTTTTATACACGGTGATAAAAAAATGACAGATAACCTTGATTATGCATTCTTGGAAAAGCTTTGAGGAGTGAGTCCATAAAAAAATGTTAAAAAACATCTCCAGTCTTATTTTATTTGAGCTATGATGAATTATGAATTTTACTAAGCTGGCAACGTTGTAATGTAGCAGCAAAAATAATGAAAGTAGCGAATAATTAAAGTTATTTCTGTTTCTCAAGAAACAAAAAAATAATTGATATTAAAATAATTCTTATCCAATGTTGTCAGATATAATTTTAAGTGAATAACACCAAACTTTTTTTTAATAAAAAATTACTGGTCCAAATCTCATATAAATAAATTTTTACTGTTGTTAACAATGACATAATTCTCTATGTTTTAGAAAAGGTAAGAACTTAACATAGCCCAGAATTATAAAATTTATTTGTCAACTTTGAAGCTTAATAGTTTCTAAATTACGGTTAACATAATTTTTTAATGATTTATTTGTTTTTTTATAAATGATAAAATTGTGTAATTTTTTAAATGGTCATGACTTACAACACCTTTTTTTTAATTGTATTATGCGTTTAATTCATATTTCTTATAAATTATGTACCTTACTAAAATTTTCCAATTAAAAATTTGCTAAAAAAGTAAATCTCCAAAACAATTCAAGTTGCACTAATTTTTTTTGATTTTAGTTTTATAGCATTAAGCAAGACCGATGTAATCATAAGTAATAAAGCTACAAGCTTTACTTTCAATTGTTACTATTGATCGAAGCTGGGAATAAAATCATTGCAACGTTGCACAACACATTGAAAATGGCTGAAGTATTTTTGTGCATTTAATTAGAGTTAAATTTGATTGAATTTTGTAGTTGAAAGATGTTACTGTTGATATCATTTCGATTAAAAACGCCTTTTTGAGGTCCACCGAAGACAACGAAGCCGACGGGGGTGTTTCGCCCCCGACTTGTTCAAATTCTGACACGAATTTGTACAAGTTGATTGAAAGTGAAAAATTTTCAGCGGCTATTGCGTTCTATAAAGCGAATAAAGACGTATTACTGAAAGAAATTTCAGACGTTTACGATCCAACCAATTTTAAGTCTATATTGCAAGAAAGTTATTCAGGATAAGCCAGGTTTGTGACATTTAGGAGAGCGATTTAGTTGATATTTTCGGTCGGCTGTTTCAAGTTTCAGCTGTTGTAGCTGATTTGGAAACTGTGATTAAGATTTTGATTGGTAAACCAAAGACTGAACGTTAATGTATCAAAAAAATGCAACACAAAGTATACTATCAATAATTCTAGTTCAGTAGTGGAATAGTTTAGTATAATTTATAATGTATCAAGACTATAATTATCAATTTTGACATTTTTATGTATCGTATGAGTATAATTCGGTGTAGTAAGAATTAAAATGCATTCAGAATGTTTTTTTTCAATTTTAACAATTTTACCACCAGCGAAACCCCACATTTCTAATTTCACGATTCTGGGGGTCGAAACCACGGCCAAGAGACCGAAAACCGCACGTGTTCTCCCCCAATGGCTCGCCAACCATCGCAATAAAACGCGCTTAGTTAATACGATATGTTGACTATTTTGCAGAAATAATACAAAAAATAAATTTAAAAATCATATCACAAATTGTGTGGGGTTGGCAATACTTTTGGTGAATTTTGACGAGCAAAAAATTATCGGCTTTGAAAGTTTTATCTGGTTTTACCTTGTTTTTTGTGTTAAATTGTGATTAGATTTGCAAATTATTCAGTGCGTTAGAGCCTCACAATTGAATTATGAGCTACCACAGTAACAATTTCGACCTTTTTGATGGTATGTTTTAATCTCTTATTTTATCAAGTTTAACGCAAGTAAAAAGGTTCTTATTACACAGATGAGGAAGATGGGGCCCCAGAAACCGAAAATCTGTCACGACTTAATTATAGAGAGACCAGTCAAGTCACTGACGACGAAAGTGACCAAGAAAATAACCCTAAGTCTTCCCAGGACACCCCAGAAATAATTGAGGACTCAATCGGCATCATTGAAATAAGTGACAGTGAGAATGAGCCCCCAAGTACAAGACTTGACGTCACAAAAGAGACCCCCGAAATTCAGATTGAAGACAGTGGCGATAACCCTAAGACTTCCCAGGACACCCCAGAAATAATTGAGGACTCAATCAGCATCATTGAAATAAGTGACAGTGAGGATGAGCCCTCAAGTACAAGACTTGACGTCACAAAAGAGCCCCCAGAAGTTCACATTGAAGACAGTGACGATAACCCTAAGACTTCCCAGGACACCCCTGATATAATTGAGGACAGCCTCAGGATTGTTGAAATGAGTGACGAGGATGAGCCCCCGAGTACAAGTCTTGACGTCACAAAAGAGCCCCCAGAAGTTCAGATTGAAGGCAGTGACGATGAGCAACCAAGAACGAGTCTCAAACAAACAAACAAACAACACTTCCTTTGTCACGAAACCGACACATAAAACAGTCGTGGGGCACCAGGAGTACCAAAAACAGGTGAAAAAAGTCAACTCATTTGAGGCTGATTTATTGAGGACTAGAGTGAGTAAAAGATTGAGTTTTCTAAATTTAATTAAACAATTTTAGAATGCTATGAGGGTCATAAAAGAGAAGAATTTGCGAGATCGGGGGATATCCCTCACTGAGAAAGTCCAATCTTTGGAGGAATTACTCCAAAAAGAGAAGACTATTTTAGATGGTATGGAAGTGACCCAGTAGGCAGCTTTAACAGCCCAGAATCGCATTGAAGTGGCTTGGGAGGAGATCGAGGCGGGGGTGAACGCTGTGAGGCCCCGAACATTAGGCAAAACAATACAAGTTGTACTGTTTTTTTTTTATTTCGGATATGATTTTACGCTTACCTAAACTAAAATGTAAGAAAATAATGTTTTTTTGACCGCTAACCGCTAAAACTAAAAAAACGTACTTTTATGAAAGATTTTGACTTTTTGTGTTGATTCTGGGTATCAATTGTTTAAAATGTTCACTAGTCAAGCAATTTGTAATTAAAATTTTTTAATAAACAAACCATTGAAATAGCTTTTAGTCTATTTTTGAAACTATAAAGTCTTTCACTGTTGGAACAAAGCCAAAAAAACAACGTACAGATCTTTATTTATCCAATACTGCTAAAATTAGCTCTAATTATTTTTGAAATACTTGAACAAAAGTACACAGTCGCCTCAAAACATGACTACCAACCCGTTTACTATCGCACAAACCGATCAAAATCGTCATGTCGTGGCAAATCGTCTTATCAAATCCGGTGAAGTAATCCTTACCGAAACTCCCTTTGTTTACGGCCCAAAATCAGGTATTTACATCAACTCTCATTTGAAAAAAACTGACTGATTTATTCAGGATCMCCCGTTTTGTGTCTTGGTTGTTTCGAATGCGTTGACTCAAAAACATACTGTACGAAATGCTCATGGCCGGTTTGTGGACCCGAATGCGAAGCATTATCTAGTCACAAAGACAACGAATGTGAAATTTTCGCTAAAAATTGTGTGAAATTTCAAGACGTGGACGACCCGTACGATGTTTGTTTGCAATACGAGGGTATAACACCCCTGAGGATGCTTCTAGCGAAGGAAAAAGATCCGAAACGGTGGCTGGAGGAAATCGAGGGGTTGGAGTCCAAAAATGAGATTCGCAAAATTAATACCAAAATTGTGGACTTTGTCCGAAATGTGTGCAAACTGGAGTTTTGTGACACTTTAATACACACCATTTGTGGGATTCTCGAAGTCACTGCGATAGATGTGAGGGCCTCTTCGGGGTATTTGATTCGTTGTTTGTATCCGAAATTATCACTAATTTCGCACAATTGTGTCACAAATTTGTTTCAAACTGTGACTCCCAACGATTTCAAAATCACACTCCGAGCATCTGTGAATATTCCTGAAAACCACGAGTTATTCTATAACTACGTTTACCCCCTTTGGCCCACTCTAATCCGACGCGATTTTTTGAAAGAAAACAAATATTTGGATTGTCAATGTCGAAGATGTAGTGACAAAACCGAGCTTGGGACACATCTAAGCACCCTGAAGTGTAGCAAATGCGATAATGGTGTAATTCTGAGCACTGATCCTTTGAACGATTCCTGCGACTGGAATTGCACTCATTGCGAGTTCAAAACCAACGCTGTTTCAGTCCGAAAAGTCTACAAAATAGTCCAGAGTGAAATCGAAGCTATTCAAATGGTTTCAGGGGCTGAAGGAATCGAGCAACGCGAGGCTATTTTCAGGAAATATCGTTCAGTTTTCCACCCGAAAAACGCCTACATGTCTATACTTCGTGTCGACTTGACGCAATTATACGGACGAGCTCCTGGTTACACCATTCATGAACTCCCGGATTTATTACAGGAACATAAAGTGGAGTTGTGTTATCAATTATTGGAAGTTTTGGATGTGGTTGAGCCTGGAGTTTCGAGACTTCGGGGAATCACACTCTATGAGCTTCATGCCCCTTTGATTTCACTCGCGAGGAATGAGTACAAGTCGGGGTTGATCACTCGGGAGGATTTCAGGAGGAAAATGCAAGACGCTGTGGAGCTGCTTGAAAAGTCTGTGGAAATTTTAAAGTGGGAACCGGAAAATTCAATCGAAGGGGAATTGGCGATTGTGGCGAAACAATCGTTGGAGAATTTGGTACAAAATTTTGATTTACTCATCCAAACTGCGTGATTTATTGTGACAAGTGTAATAAAATCTATTTTTTTCTCTTGTTTTTGGTTGGTTTGGTTTGTTTTTCCCCCAGTTGAATGTTGTTGATCGATAGTCGCAACATTTTTAATTCTGACAGAGCGTTTTGTGCAAGGCGTCCTTCGGGACTCTTCACAGGTTCGTAAAGGAGACATTTGATTGAATTTTTCAAAATAGTTTCAGCTGCTAGTAGCCTTTTGACAAATTCCTCGGTGCCAAATTCCTTATTATTGTAACACTTTTGGGCCAAATTTGCCACAGCTGAATGCAATTCATACATGGCTATTGCCTGAATGCGGGAAATCCCCGGTTCAATTTTTCGGAAAATCTCCAAAAGTTTATTGCAAAGTTCGATTTTCCGGTTTAAGTTTTTCCCACTTGGAGAGGCTTGTGAGTAGAGACGGACCAAGTTTTGCTCCACTTCCAAAACCAAGTAGTGTTGGTGATGAAACGTGAAACTTAGTTTTTTCTGGAATTTCTCCAAAACTTCAATGGTGCGTGATTCTGTGAAAAATTGTGGCTTAAGGGGTTGAGGGAAATTATTGCGGTTTTAACAAACTCTTCAATTTGTCTTTGGCATTCTGTGATTGTCATTTTGATAAGAGAATCGTGAAAAATTCGTTGGCAAGAAGAGCACTGCCAGGGTTTTGGAGGTAAAAGGCCTTTGTGGCATCTGGGGCATTTTAAAGAACTCATTTCAGTACCAAATTCGGTGCAATCGCGGCATCTCAAACATTGGCATTCGAAATGTTTGGCGTTGAGTAGTCGTCGTTTTCGCTCGTCATTGCCCTAAAAAATAAAAAAGTGTGGGAATTAATAATCCCCGATTAATAAACGAGTTACATAATTACAGTCGCTTCTAGTCCTCAAAATTTGAAAAATAACATATTTTAGACATTTTCGCTGGTTTTTATTCATTAACAGTGGCTATTTACATAGCAAGGCACTAAAATTAAATTTTTTGTACACTTTAGTTGACATATGAGTCCGGAAAAGTACAGATTATTTTGACGGTTTTGTTTCGTTCAATTTATGACAATTACAGAAAAAAAACTTTATTATAAAGAAGAATTCAGAAAAAGTAAAAGTATGCATGTTTTATGTCTGCAAACAAAACTAAAAACGGAATCTAGTTTTTTTAACTTGAACCATAGGAGAAAGGAAAAAAGCTGAAATCACAACATTGTAAACCCTGTTCAAAATTAAAGAAACACAACCTGTTGCATTATGTTGGTGAAAAAAATAAATCCCCTATGCAAGATTTTCACACTGTTAGGTTGGTTGCAAATTTGCGTCAGATTTGAAGTTTTTGACTTTCATGTAAAATTTCATCAAAATTCAGTTTTGAATATTTATTTATTCCGCACTAAAATGCCTCGAAAGCAAAGAAATTTGCTCAACGCAAAAATGAAGGAAGCCGTTGTGAAATGCAGCGATGAATTGAAACGGTTAGCGCCAGATTTATCTGACCGCCAAATTATCGAAAAGCTTCAAAATATTTTTTCGGTAACATCGGCGTAAAAAGCCAAAAGCGGGATATTCTTGAGGTATGTTTTATTGTCAGACAAAATACGCGGGTAGATAATTAATTTCTCGCAAAAATTATAGAAAATGGATAAATTCGATTTATAACTCTCGCGAAGTCTCAATATCTACAAAACTACCCCTACAAGATTACCCCAACCTAGATTTTCTATTGACTTTTTTACATTATTAGGTGTCTGCAGCAACCATTTTTAGAATTTTGAAATGCTCTAACGCCGGTCAAAACCTGAAATCTTCGGTGAGCGGAGGAGGACGTAAAAAAATATCGTTCTTCCAAGATCATTTTTTTAGCGAAGAATTGGGGCGATATATATTCCAAAAAAAAAAATCGGGAGAATATTTCAATTTAAATAATTTATTATCGTACGCAATACAAAATGTAGAGTATACCGGAGGCCGCACAACTTTATATAAAATTTTGAAAAGTATGGGGTATAGGCACAGAATATTAATACTATAACAGAAGCCTCACTCGACAAGGAGACGAAAATTAGAGGAGGATGAAAGTGCACTACTCATTTAAAGGGCTATCGTCTTTAGTCAGCATTACCCGCAGCTTTCCGTACATGTGTGTAGCGCTATTGGCTATGATTTACAGGCGCGTTTTTAAGAAATATTGGAGTTGGGTGCACGTACACCTACACAATTTACAAATCTTTTTTTTTTATCATTATTGTCTTAGGAGTATACATATTTACCATTGTTATAATTGATATTGGAATTGTTTTTGTTTTATATTTCAAACAATTTTTTTTTAATATAAAATTGACTGCCTTTTATTATGTGAATAATGTTTAATGCTGATTCCTAGAAATTCACCTTTCAGGCCCGGTTTTATTCCAAGTAAGTATAAAATCTGTTAAGTTGGCGATTTCCTTTATCTAGTAAACAGCTTTCCTGGAATTATTGTTCCTTTAAAGTCTGCAAGCAATACATTTTTTTTAATCAGCCCAAACAGTCATTTATCGTCATTCAGTAGGCATTAATATCGATTCGTTTCGTTTTATTTTAATTCTAAGTTAAAAAGACGTGAAATAAGTAGTGCCCTTCGCAATTGGACTATTATTATTTAGACAAAATAACAAAGATAACAAAATGTTATGAATTGTTTTAATTCTTCCATTGCATTGATGAGAACTTTTTCAGCTCTTTACCCTTAGAAGTTCCTACTTATAAAATTAAACCGTGTATTTTTTATTTAACGTACATACATTTAAGTTCACTACATGAAGCTACAGTCGAAACAGAATAAGTAAATACCTACATGACATTAAGATTTAGTTAATTTTTTTTTACATATGGAAACCACATCTCTAGTCCCATTTTAACGCACACATCTTAAGTGCACTACTGGATTAAATACCCGAGGTTACTGGAGCGACCGGCGAAATATCAAAGATTTCGTGCGGAGTGGGGCTTCTGTTATAATATTTATTCTGTGGTATAGGTATAAATTTGAAAATAACCGAAAAATCCTAATGGAAAAGCCTTATATCGCTGCTCAACGAATCAGATTTTTAAAAAGATATATGCAATACAAAACTGATTATCCAAATGTTAATTTTGTTTGGTTAGACGAGACATGGATTTTCCAAAATGGTTCCCAAATTCGAACGTGGACAAATGATGCTCTGTCTAAAAAAGATTATAAAGTTAAAAAGACGGAAGGTGAACGATTCACGGTCCTACATGCTGGATGCTTCACTGGTTTCTTAAATAGGTGCTCCATGTTACTCAAAACAAAAATCAACGACCGCGACTATCACAAGACCATGAACGGTAATCTTTTTAAAAATTGGGTTGAAGAGCAATTGATTCCAGCTCTGCCATTTGATGGTCAAAAAACGGTAGTGGTAATGGATAATGCTCCGTACCATTCAGTAAAACTTGACAAACCACCTACAAAGTCATCAAAGAAAACCATGCTTCAAAATTATTTGTCTGTGAACAACATACATTTTAATACAAACGCGACGAAGAAACAGTTGTGGGAGTTAATTCAGCCTAAAGTGCAAAATGCTCCTGTTAAATATGAAGTGGACACCCTTTTAAATCAACATGGCATAGATGTGTTAAGACTTCCTCCATACCACTGCCAGTACAACCCTATCGAACTGGCTTGGGCATATTGTAAAACTTTTTACAATAAACATATCAGCGCCTCACGTTATGGTAGAGAGAAAGTTGGTGAAGTATGGCATGAAGCACTTAACAATTTTACTCCTGAAAGTGGCGCAACAGCGTAAGGCATTGTGAGGAGCTGATTTCTGACGATTGGAATAAAAGCGCAGCTAATTTGAACCTGCAGCTGAACATTCCTCCAATAATAATTGATCTGGCTGATTCTGATTCTTCATCAACTTGGTCAAGTTCAGATCATGATGAATCCAATAAAGAGAATTTCTTTTAGTTTTGCATTGTTCCACATTCAAGTTTTAAAAAAATCGGTTCTTTTCAGAACCATCAACTTATCACAAATAAAATAACGCTATCAACATACCATCATAACAACAATGCAAATGGGACATTGAAACTTTTGCTGAAACCTTCGGGGTGAGAACAAGTTGCTTCTGTGTCTGCCGGTGGTCCTTTTGAACCAATTTTCAATTCTCCGTGCTACAAATTTAAAACCGGAAAAACCAAAAACCGCAACGACGTATGTCGCCCAATACCATCTAAGATATTAAATCCATATAAGACTTCTTTGAGTTCTGTTGGTCAACAAACTTTGTGAAAAAGAAAACATAACCTTATTTTTTTGACACATACGTTCCCACTAGAAAATACATATAACTAAACAACGTTGCCGGTTGAATTTTTGAGCCTTATTGCCGGTTGGGTGTTTCTTTAAATTATGAACAGAGAATAGTTTTCTATGACCAAAACCTCGAATGCATTAATTCAGTGTCAGTGACAAAACAGTGACAGCAGTGAATGTAATATAGTATATTACAGTACGAGTAGAGAAACTAAAAGATTCACTCAGGCGTGTGTCGGATTTATGAAAAATCGTTTTCCTAAGACCTACTAAAAATTTTATGACACATTATTATAAGGGAATGAATTTGTAATCCTCAATAAATGTCACGTTCCTTTGCAAGTGTTGCTGCATCCACTAGAATAAAACAGGACCGTACTTAAAACCAAAGTAGTGGTAGAGTTTTACCAAGCTATTATTAAAAAAAATCAGCTTTATTTAATAATAGCTTGTTAATAACCACCTGGCTTTTTTAAATTTCTTAAAATACTTGATTTTAATAACAACTGCATCAAAAACTATTAAAATATTTCAAGTATTTTAGACAAAAAGAAAGTAAGTAATCCGGCCCTGTTAAAAACTGACCTGTTTCCTTGGTTTTGGAATTCTTTTTTGCAGTTTACATCTCATCACATTGGCGGTTTTATTTTTTTGACAACGATGTCACTTTGACAACTAATTAATTAACTGAATAATGATTGTTTTTGTTAAAAATTGATTTTGTATTTTTTATCTTAAATCTGTTTTTTTTGAGATCTTTGTTATTTAACTTGCGTAAACCCATTTGTCAAACTGACGTCGTTGTCAAAAAAGTAAAAGTAAAACCGCCAATGTGATGGAATTTAAAACGCAGAAAAAAATATAAGTCCAAAAGGAAGAGAAAAATTAACTTTTCTTTCTAATGAGTCATATCGTGTGATAGATAGTAGTAATCAGGAACAAAAAGACTTTTCAAAAATACATAAATCAAATATGGCGTCCATAAGAAAATCCAGGTTGAGTGTTGTAACTCTGATATCAAGAGCGTCTTGGAAAACACGATGACAGATTTAGATTCCTTGCAAAAAAGTGCCTTAAGAACGGTCAGGTTCATTTCAAATTTGAACTGCAGCCAGCAATACATTTGCATAGGCTTCATGGATTTTGATTATGAGTTTTAAAATTAATAAAACATAGTTATCGCGTGACTGACACAAAGAAACTGACAAGAAAGGAAACACAAGTTTTAAGGTTATTTGTCTCTTTACCGTTGGAAAGCACTTTAGTTATTCAAGCCTTTTTGGAGCTTTTCTATTCGGGAAACATTGTCTTTACAAACGCTCAACGGCAGAAACATATTTCCCAAATTCGCCATAAAATGAGAATCAGATCATTCCAATGCATTTTGACTTTTTGCTAAATTTAATGTCAGTTCTGACAAATAAAATTATTGGAAGCAAAGCTATCGTGGATTCATAATCGTTTTTTCTAAAAAATGCGATATCTAAACTATCCACGTTAACTTTGCAAATGTATTGTGGGTTGTATTTTCAATTCCGTCAGGCTCATTATCACTCGTGAAATACCCTGTATATATATTTTTTTTAATTAAAATAAGAAAAAATAAGAAAGCGCAAATTAGAAAAAATAGCATAAAATACTCGTTTTATAATGGCATTGGCGCACTCATCCCATAGAAAACTCGCCTACGACTCGTTTTCTAACTTGGGATTCGTGCGCCAAATCAACCCTTATAAAACTTGTTCTTTAATATACTATTTTGGAGTTTTAATCGCGTCATTAAAGACACTATAAGTCGAGAAATAATTATGGACAATCATAGACTGTCAAAGCTGCAGAAATTTGTCAACGTGACATCCCTTCTAGAGAAAGAAAAATTATTCGAACTTGTAGAACTGAGGGCATATTGACGAGAGTCACAACCTACCAGTGGTGACAATATTGTGACAATAAAAAAATCTGCACCTATGCACGTCAATCATTGACAATAATGTTATTGGCACTGTATACAGGAGGAATAATGAGCCTGACCAAATTTTCGATGCAACCAACATTACAGTTGTCGCAAAATAACTTACGACGAGTAATGGTGGTTGCATCGAGAATTTGGTCAGGCTCATTATTTCTCGTGAATCACCTTGTATGCAATCTATTCTAGCTAAAAAATAGAAAATATTAAATGTAGTGAGTATATTGCATACCGATAATAAATTCCCACAAACAACGATAGCATCCACACGTCTGCTAAATATGTATTTACCTTTTTTTGTCGACCTTTGAAAATTCCTCAAATTATTGGTATTATAATTTTGTAAACAATTGTTTAAGTTAGAACTAATCAACAAACAATCAAAATGCAAACCGTCAACACTTGAAGAGCCAGAGCATTGCGTTTTAGGGTTTTTTGTTTTGTCTCTAAGTAATGGCCGTCATGGCCACACTGTAACTCATATGTGTAAATAAATTAGCAAGTTGATTTTGTAGAATTATACACCAATTATTATACTTCGGTTAAATTATTGTTCAGAATTTGTATTTTACCGTGCGATTTTGTAAGTATAAGCTTGTATTTTTGGTGATAAATTAATGAAATGATCACATTTTTTAATGTCCCATCCCCACCTTTCATCTTTGTTTGTGTTGGTGTTGTGACAGCTTAGGAGGGTGTACGTAGCTGATTTCACAATACTTGAGAACATATTTGTGAAAATTCGTGATTATTCTCCACTCATGTGCACTAGCCATGGGGCGTAACGCACAAAAGTTGCATTTGTGTTCTTATCAATTTGAGTTTATTTAATGGAGGTGTATTGTGAATGTGCAATGCCTCTATTGGATCAATAGTACACTACAAATTTGTAAAATTACTCATTCTCTCTTACTCAATGGTGATAGTGATTATATGCTACAAGGTTGTTTTAACATATTCTATTGTCTCGTTAATCAAACCGAAAAATTATTATGTTTCAGTTATTACTGTAATGAATTCCAACAACCACAACCAGTCTCGAAGGAACTCCTCGTCCTTCAGTAGGCACACAAATAACCATTCTAATCGACCAAATCATGGCCACCAGCGGTGGCCTAACCGATATCCCAAAGATTACAGCAGGGAATATGATAATAACTTTAATCGAGGGTAAGACTTGAAAACCGTTCATTTCACTCATTTCAAAGTTTTATTTTGCTTGCAGTGAATGCTCAGTACCCCCTAATACTAGCCCTAAGGACTCCAACTATGTTCACGGGTACCCCAAAGTGCCCTCCCAGCTGAGCCCTGTATTGAGAAATAGCCACATACACTACAACAGTGAATCCTCTGGTGTGTAATTTTGGAGTAAACTGCATCATTCACTCTCTTAAATTATAGGACACCCCCACCAAGACAGACGCCACATTCCCTTATCAAACGCCCCTGAAAGACGCCACGCTCCTGTTCAAAACTACCACAATGGGGGCGACAGACGACACATGCCCAACTTGGGTGATCGTCGTCACATTTCCCCTCCTCTCCACATAAATATCTGTGAAAATTCACCAAACATCATCAGCAATTCATCTCCAGATGTTTTGCATCAAAGGAACATGATGGATTTTTCAAATTCACAGAGGAGGCATGGCAGAGGTACAATCGGACGTTGTTACAGATTTATATAAGATGGTGTTTTGTTTAACAGAAGTTCGGGTGAGTCCGGTCCACTTCCAGCAGCACTCACCACAGTTTTATAGACAAGGAGGAGAAGAAAGTATTAAAAGTGAAAGTCCGTCCCGTAAACGCCGACGCTTATCGCGCTCTGGCCATCATATTGAACTAAATGCTCAACCGGCCTCACCCCCAAGGAGGTCACCTAGGCAGCACCCGCCCTCTACTTCACATCACAACTTACAGGTGAGTATAGTAACATCAAAGGTATTGTCCGTTCAGTTGATGGTTAATTTGATGTGTAATATGTATTTTGTGATACATTCCATCAGAGAGAACTGAAAAAGACACGGGAAATTGATAAGGAATGACATGCTTAAAGATAAACAAGCAGAATTAAGTTTTAAACATTTTTAAAATAACAGATAATGTATTTCATAAACACATTTACAATTCTTTAATTTTAAGATTTATTTTCAGTCATTGTTTAATCTTACACTATCTCTATTATTTGTTCACTTTAGAACAAGTTTATATTTTTCAAATTCGCAAATATGTTAATAGTTATTTATTCGACGAGTGTGAGTGTAAATCGGACGGTTTATTTAGTTTATCATCCACGAGGCGGAATAAATGAACCGATTTACACTAAGATGAGTTACATACAACATTTTATTCTTCGTATTAGACTCAACAAGGCTTAAACTTGCTTTAAATCTGTAAAAATAATTTGACGTTTCGTATTGAGAAATGCCAAACAGTTGTCAAAACTTCCTTACACGGGAGAAAACCGTAAATTTTGACAGTGTCGAAGAATAATGGTTATTTATTGTAAGAGTGTGTTAGGTAGCGTTTTATCCACGCAAGAATGTTTAACCGCGTCTAAAGTGTGGAATAAAGTCTCTTTATAGAGTGATTGTGGATAAAATATTTAATCCATTATCTACTACTTATTTTTTAGCTATTGTTGATGTCATTACAGACTAGTAAAATTTCGCAGAAGTCACACTTGCCACAGTTGGATAGAATTCCTCATAAGTGACTTGATTGATCATACCACTTATACTTATAAATAACTTATAATTAAATACATATAAAGGGTGAATATATAGTATGGAACCTAGCGGTTTTATTTTTAATCATTTGCCTCCAGAAAATAATAAGTAATATAAATTAAAGTAATATAAAAAATGTGATCGTATTTTCACAACGAATTTTTGTTTTGTTTTTGAGTTACGCGATTTTTTTTTTGTCAAAATTGCAATTTATGTGAAAAATTTTTTTTGAAAAAATTAAGTATAAAGCAGATAGTTGTAATCCTTAGAGTATAGGTTTTATGAGAAAAGTGATTTTATAGTGGGTTGCCATTAAATTTTTTTTTTTTGTAGAACTCAAAAACAAAAGGAAATTTCGAAAAATTTTATTCTTGTTAAATCATCACATTTTTATAGTACTTTATCACTCATCAATTAGTTTTTTCAAAAAATAAATAGTTTAAGCAAAAAACGTTTGGTTCCATACTTTTTATTCACCTGGTATATGTATTGTACGTTATAGAATTTAACAAATTTTGTTGGACAAGCAATATTTTTTATTATTTGTTTGAGGCTGGTTTTTGAGGTTTTTGATACATACCTCTTAAATTACTAAAAAAAAATAGTTCTTTGTTGAACAATAAAAGGGAAATTTATTGTCTTTTTTATATTACTTACTTTTATATTACGTTCAAACAATGATTTTAAAAAACTGGATTTCAGGGAGATACGTAACTACGGGCAGCTGAATCAGTGGTTTTCATCAGCGTTATTTTCGTTTTTATTTTTCATTCTTTTGATTCATATTTTTATGTATGAAAATTTTAGCCAATTAAAATAGAAGACTACACATTTGTCACTTGTCAAAGAGCATACATTTTTATAGGAGTAATACACAATCGCTTGTGTTATTTTTTTATTAAAAAAAAACACGATACTTGTTTCAATTTTTTTTATGTCGGATACACACCAAAATCCATGTTTTAAATTTGTTCCGAACAGGTTCGAAACTCTTCATTGGACAGACAGTTTAAACAGTTTTAAACTTTTAGCTCATACACACCAAATGCTAAATGGTGTGTAAAAGCTATTTTTATAAAGTTCGCTATATGCAGTAGTGTTTTTTTTTTTTAATTAATGTATTATTACCCTTATGATGTCCAACGAAGATAACAAACTTTTACTTCTGGTGTTGCAACTAAAAGAAAGAAAAAGAAGAAAAGGAAAAAGAAAGGAAGTAGTTCTCACTATCACTATCTTTAGTGGTTCTATTTTTTAAAGTAGAAAAAAATATCGCACATTAAATCTATCACAAGATTATAATTTATCTGCTGCATTCACAAAACCAATAAATAAAAATACGGTATTATGCGTTGCACACCTGTAGATCTTCCTGGCAAAAGCCCATGGAAGTACATGGGCGCCAGGAGGGGAGTGCAATTGCACCTTCTTGCTATGAAAGAAAATACACCAAAAAAATTAAGAAAATAAATTTTTATTGTTTGAACAAAAACTTAACTCATCTAGGTTGTTGCCCAAACTTGTTCAACACTTTTTAAATGAATTCAGTGACTTCTTTCACCCTTTCTCTATGAACATTTAGCATGCACAATCCGTTTAGTCTAGCGGATCTCATCGTTGACCGATAACATGGCCCAATGACCTAAAACTATTAAAATTTGCGGAATTTTCAGTTGGATGGGAGAAGTGTTACAAACCTCATCACTCTCCCACGATCCGACTCTGATCATGCACCTCCCTAAAAGTAATCCTGCAAGCGTCCTTGTGGAAGTAGCTTAAATTGCGTAGTTTGCTGGAAGCTGGAAACCGGAACGAAGATTTAAGCTCTTGCTTTGTTGAGATACTTTGATTTACACCGGTTTTTGGGTTAATATCTAGCCAAATTATTTGGAAATAGTTCAGATCATTTTAAGCATTTGTTTTGTTGTTAACTTGTTCCGAACACCTTGATCTTACTGATTACGAAGAAATTACGGCGGTTTCGAACTTGTACCGGACTCATTCTTTCAACACACCTCGTTACTGAGTTTCCTCGAACATGGTTCACATGTTTCAAACTGTTCTGAACTTCGATCAAAACACTCAGAACAACATTACATCCGATAACAATAATTCCTTTAATAATATAATAATATTTTGTTGATTAAACGCTTGTTTAAAACTATAACTTTTAGCTTATGTATTTGCTATTTAACTTATTTTTCTGTTCTCTTTTTGCAGGGCAGTCCCCCGTTACGTCGTCCCAGATACCGTGATAGGAATGATTTCATACACGCACATCATCAAACGTTTTTACCCAGTCCTCCACCTGTTGCTCACGCTCATCCTCATCAGTCTACTGTAATGATGGATATCAATCAGGTTGTCAAATCTAAAGCTTTAAAATACGTGATTTTATACACACTTTATTCTAATACAGGTACCAGTAACGATTCCAATGAATCACGAAGCCATGTGGAGTTACACGTCGCCGCCACACATATCTTTGTGTACGGCTCCTCCGGGTGCCCCTCCACACATGCACAGTTGTCATATGCATAATGTGTACCAAACGCCCCATCAACTAGTACCCCAGCAGTTTCCCGGTTGTCTTCCACATCAGGGTTACGGGGGCTTCCCCACTCCGCCTAGTGCTCTTTCCGTTTCTAATCAGCATTACAACCAGCACCTCCCGCCTCAAAGACCTGATAGCCTTGAATTGGAGCTCCTCAACGATCACCATTCTCATACGCACTCGACACTTCACGGAGCACCCCCATTACATGTTTCTCCTCTTCAAGTTACACCTCCCGCCTCCTTATTTTTGTCGGCTGAAACGAGAGGCAATCAGTTAGAGTTATTACATGCCAGGTCTAGGCAGCACAGAAATCCGCGTTTGCAACCTCCGAGGACTCGTTGGCACCACAATGCACCCATCATTTCGGCGCCCGCTCAGTATTCAGGCTTCCTACTTCATTTCCTGTAAGTCGTACAGTATTTTGATTATTCACTACTCAATGGGAATTTTTTCAGCGCTATGTTTTCGAATCCGCCAATGTCTCCATTCAGCCAAACCGATCTCAGTAGTTCAGATACTACGGAAACGGAGAATTACGAAGCTCTTCTTAATTTGGCCGAACAGTTAGGCGAAGCGAAACCCCGAGGTTTAGGAAAATTAGAAATTGAGTCGCTTCTCAGTTACAAATTTAACGCCGATACACACCAAGGGGATCAGACTTCATGTGTGGTGTGCATGTGCGATTTTGAAGCCAGACAAGTGCTCAGAGTCTTACCTTGCTCACACGAATTCCATGCCAAATGTATCGATAAGTGGCTCAGAGTAAGTTCATTCAATATTTTTCTTATTTTCTTTCAAATAAATTCAATTCAATAGCTCTAACGTAATGAAATTGCCGGCAGTTACAATTTTCATAGCATAAACTGCGTTGCTAAAAAAATACACTTACTACTATAAAAATAACTTTTTCAAAACTTTTTAATTTTTTAAACTAAATGTACCTAATAACAATTGATAATATAAACAATAATAAATAATCCATAATCAAATTACTGATAGTGGGCCATTATCGTCAGTGGCTCTCAATTTTCTTCTGATTTGGTAAGAGCAGGATCAATTTCTCTTAACTTTAAAAAAATTCGACGTCGCATTGTTTGTCACATTTTTGACTTCCCATTTCTTGTCGTACACTTTTCTGTTCAATATTGTCCAAAACTCTTCAGTTAATCAAGCCTGAGGTATAGTTGCGGAATTAAAATTTCGGACAGTATTGTCATTTTCATAATGTAAACTCTAAAACAACCTTTACATTAATAACCTCATTTTTTACTCTTGTCATGTTTATGTCATTTTGACTTGATTACTTTCAAAAATAGTGATTTGTGGCATAATAAAGGGTAAGCAGCAGATCAAAGCGATGATTTAATTACACTTAGTTTAATTAATAAATTTCCTAAGGCAGACAAATTGTTTATTAACTATTTTAACAACAAAAAAAGTTTAATTGTCTAATATCAATCATGATGACAGTAAAGGGTAGTTAAGGCAGCAGATACACAGAACGTCGATCGTGGACGATCAAGTAACATCGATCGTTCCTCATCGAGTTTACACTTGATGATACGTCCAATACGAATACATAGACATCGAGTAAAATAAAGTGACATCGAGTAGCAGCTCCAAGTCAGTCCTACAAGTATTTCCAATAATTACTGTTTTTTTTTGTGCTCTGTGACGGTTTAACTAAAAATGAAATTACAAATGAGCTACGAGACGGTAAAACACTAAAAATGATGTCAGATTCACGACACTTGACAATTGCGGAGACGAAAACTCTTGAAACTGTACATATTTTGACCGACTTTATGAATCGTCGAGTGAAATTTCAAATATATTCCAAATTTCAAACACTCGTCGAGTTGGTACTCTATGTTACACGATGGTACTTGCTCCTGTGTAAAGCGCCACATTTGATTACATGCGTTCTAAATGTTGCTTCATGAAGTATCATGAAGTATCTCTGTGTAATTCCGCAACTGTACGTTGGGAGGATTGTCTATTTTAGGTACAAAATTTATATTGTTTTCGTTAAGTCATTTTGTAGCTTTAGCTTCTCTACCATTGTGACACGAAGGCAAATCATGATTGGCATAATATGTATTTAAAACTTTATTGAATTTGGAGAGATATCTTTAAATATAAATGGTCTTTGAAACAGCGAATCTTCGACCTAATTTTTGTTGTGATACTCTAATTTTCTTTTTAATGGCTTAAATCATTCTTTGTTCCCCCAAAATTTGGGTTCGAGGACATTTGGACACATTAACACGGGATACCTTCTTCACATTCCTTGATGGTCCGACAAATTGTTGAAACCGAAATATTTTGTTCTCTATAAGTTGCAATGATTTTACGTTGAGACATTCACCCAACCAGATTGTAAATGCCTTAACGAATATCTAGCTGATAAGACATTTTTGAAAACTCAATTGAAACAACTAAACTGCCATAACATAAACAACTCATATTTTACTTCCAGTAATAACCTATTTAAACGCTATTTGGTATAAATAAAAACCATCTAAAAAAATTCCCAAAACTTTAGGACCATACGTTATTACATTACCAACTATAGTTAAGTTAAGTGTTAAGTTAACATAATGAATGACAACTTTCAACTGCTTCTGCGTGAAACTTATTTAAAGGTTTTTACCAAAGATAATTAATAAAAACATTTTGTGTAACCTAAAAGTTGATTTCAGATACAAACTATCACAACTTTTTCTTCTGCGAGCTACCCACAACTTAGTTAAACACTATTAAACTATTCTATTCTTACTACTTAAGCAGAAAGACATATTTTTAGCAATGGTTTATAAAGAATATGGGTTTTTAATAATCATTTACGAGTACAATGCTTCAAAAGGACAAGTTTAAAGACCACATTCAAAAAAGTAAAGAAAATAGTGTTTTATTACAAAAAAAAAATTGTATTTTTTTCACATATTGTGAAAAAAGTTAAAGAACTGCGTTAGCACTCGACGTTTGTTTAGTTGTGAAATTATCTCGGAACTTTTCTTTTGCCAATCTGTTACTTTTACATTTCAGTTTTTGGCTCAAAATTTGTATGGTTCAGTTCTAACGCAAATTCTTATTTTATCAATCAAATCAAATTATTGTGGCTTATTTCACCTTTTGCTACTTTGAGAAAAAAAGGAATGGTTCATGTTTTACTTTATATTTTTTATTAATCTAATGTTTTTATTTTTCAGTCAAACAGAACCTGTCCTATTTGCCGTGGGAATGCTTCGGACTATTTCAACACCAGTGATTAGATTTCCCCAACGGAAACAATAACCTCCTTTATAAATTTTTTCAGAATTGAAAGTTTTGTTGTCAGGTGCCATTAGTTTGCCAGTAATAGATTTATAATATCACTAATGAACAAAAATATATATGTGTTAACACTTCCTATTTTACTTATCTAGTAGATATCGTAAGCTTGAAATTGTTAGCAATTGTCGGTAAGATTTAGGTGAGCCACATTTTTGTTTTTTAGTGTCTATATTCATGTGTCAATGTCGTACACCTAATTCTCCATTGTAACTACCTCTAATACAACAGAGACGTCAAATTTTGCAATCAAACGTTGGACGTTACTCTGTACCTTGACATTCGATTAATTTTTTGTTTGTATGATTGTACGTACTAGGTACATCTTCCATGATAATGTTGTTCGTTGTGTAATTTTTCGTTACTAACGGTTACATAAGGCTTATCGTTAAATTAATTTTAAATGAGTGTGCCTTTTTTTGCACTGACGTGTAAAACTGGCTTTAGGTTTAGTTGTATTTTTGGCTTTGTTTATTTCGCTTATCTTAAAAACAAAAAAAAATTACAAATTTCCGCTGTCTTTGCACATATGCTTCATCTACACTATATGTAAAATTTGATTTGATAATGAAATTTGTACTTACTAGTTTAAATTTGTACTTTCTCGATAATATTGCAGTACAATTCAATGCTTTTAATGTCATTTTCACCATTGTTAGAATAAAACAAATTTTATCGGGTGGTAATTATTGTACAGAGAATAATTTAATGTAATAGGTGTGCCTTTATATTGTACAATTCAACATCTGCCATTCCGTTTGATTTGCAAATATTTTTAAAATAAAACAAAAATTCAAGTGGTATGCAGGACTGCCTCAAAAGTCAAACGGATTAGATAATATGTCTTAGAGCTGAAGAATTGTTCTGTTTTATTAATTTATATGTGTAGCTTTATAATTTTAATTCTTAAGTTTCGTTGTTAAAAAATCCTTTGTGGCAGTTAGTATATTTACTACACCATTTTGAAAATGCCTTTAGTTGTTAAGCACCCTCACTTGATGGACTATTACTGTTAAGAATGTGTGAAGTGGAAGTGATATTTTAAACAATTAACCTTCGGTTTTAAGAACTGTTGAAAAATACATTCCCTTTTGTTGCATATTAGATAACGCTGTTCTAAGCAAATTACAATATGATCAAGATTACGAAATTTACCTTGTGATTAACTATACTCGAATATGAATAAAGTTGTGTCTAAGAAATTACCTTTGGCCAAGACAATAGTTTATCTAAAATTTATTGTTAGGCTAGGACAAGTATTTCTTAGATGTGCCTTTTTTCACGTGCAAATATAATTACTAACAACATATGTTTCGAACCTTGTCTTATTGCTGAGTTTAGAGTTAATTGGACATAGTTACTGGATTTTAAAAGACTTTCTAAAAACCGAGGGTTTATTTTAACACTGGTCGTTAAAATGGCTAAATCTGTTTTGTAATTGTTTATTTTGCTCAATTATGTATTTATATGTTAAGGAATGGAATTGTTTGACCAGTAGCCATTTTATAGATTGAAAATAAAATTGTTTTGATTTCTAGAATTAATTTAGACTTGTGTTTGGTTGGATGTAAAGTTTTTGTTGCAATTACGTAAAATACTCAGTAGAGGGTGCCGTTGTTGTTCAGTATACACATATCTCAGACACAAGTGCAATATGAAAATCATTTTAGCATTTTTTCAAACATGAACTAGCAATATTTAATAGTCTAAGGCATTCACATTTAGCAATTACTTCATAATCAAACTATAGATTGTATTTTTGTGAACGTGAATACCTAAGTGATACTTTTGCTTTTAGTGGATTTTAATATTTATGTATTCATAGGAGCTTATAGTGGCTACTATACTAGTTCTTATTTCAATAAAATATTTAAAACCGAGCTACTATTCTATAACAACTGTCCACAACTAAAAAAGGATGTTTGGGTAAAAATTCCACTTTACAAACTACCAACATACTTTATTAAAAAAAATGCAAAGAATGTGGTCATACTTTCAAAAATTATTATTTACTATTTTTGCAGATTGCAACAGAAATAAGTATGTACATTTAACATGTAGCAAAATTAGTTATAAAAAAGAACCAATTTTTTTTTTAATTATGGATCTAAAAATTACAGGATATTTCGTTTTACCGCCCACCAAAAAATGATCATAAATTAAAATAAATCATGTTCCAGATTTTAACTAACTTGACGCACTCGGGTGTTAACATAATTTGAAACTTCTTTAACAAGTTGTCTGGAGGTTATATCGCTATATCATTCATCATCGTTTGGAGTCATTGAAGATTTTCCTTTAATCCATTTTAACATTTTTTTTACAGAAAACAAAATTTATCGAAAGAGTTTTCGAGTGTAAAAAAAATGTTGAACTGACAGCTACTCCTTAGAGCTTTAACGATTTTTTTATACCAGGTGAATAAAAAGTATGGAACCAAGCGGTTTTTTTCATAAACTAAGCATTTTACTAAAAAAATAATTAGTGTAGCGTAAAGTTCAATTGAAACAACCACTTCGGTTAAGTTCGGAAAATCTTCGTGATGAGCTCGGAACGCAACTTTAACAATTAAAATAAAACTTGAAGGGGGAAAGGAACAACTGCGCTATCTGGCCTCGCTAACGGAACTATCGAGAACGGGGACGTTTTGTTTTACATCGTGTCGTATCCTAGTCTTTAGGTATCCGTAATTCATATTTCCTTTTTTATTGATACAGAATTTTTTTAATTATTAGTTTAGAATTAATTTGCTTATTTTATTAATTTAAAATTGTCAAATGAGGTAATTATTCACCATTTTTTTTCGATAGAAAGCCCTTTCGATGGGTTTTCTCCAAAAAATCAAAAAAATCGTTAAACGGGAACACTCTTGTGATGGCAGAAAATAGGGAGATTTTTGGAAATACTTTTATCTATACAGGATGCGCCAGAACTTGCGCCCCAGAGAAAATTTTCAAGTAAGGTAAGATACCAGGAACATGAAAAAAATGTTTAAAAAATTCTATCTGTCAAAAAATTTTGACATATATTTTTTGACATTTGACATTTTTTATATCTATTTAATGATACTGATGATCTTGTATATGTTTTTTTACAATTATTTAGTAAAGGGACAAAACTTTTGCCAATAAAAGCGACAAGTAACATTGAACAGAGTTACAATTTAGGATACAGCTTCCTTGTTTCCTCTTTTAATAGCCTATAGTAAAAAAACTTTGAAAATTATTATTCCAACAGAAATAAATACAGTGAAAGTGCAACCTTTAAACCCTCATAATTTCGAAATTTTTATAGATAAAATTTTTTTAACATTTTTTCCATGTTCCTGGTATCTTACCTTATATCGCATTTTTCTTTGGGGCGCATCCTGTAGGTGCCTGTGTTATAAAATAAGAAAAATTCCCGCATCTTAAAAATTTAAGTTTAGAAACGAAGCTAACTTGTTTTTTCAAAAACACTAAATTTTATTTTTAACATCTTAATACAACGCGTCTTTCGACTACAAGGTGGTCATCCGCGGGTGTGGATAAATCGTAAAAATATAATTTGGTGTTTTTGGGAAGACATCGAATTTAGATTTTTTTAAGACCAATAAGATCCAACTAGAAGTTACAAGGAAAGCATTATCAGAAAACTATATTTTTTTCTGAAATGAATTTTTATGCGTGCGTTTGATCTAATACGATTCAAATTTACCGCTACCTGAAGTGGAATTTCTAGAGTTTTCTGGATTGATGCTGCATTGCCAGATCACATTTAGTACGCCTTTACTTAATATTAATTTAAAATAAATTTAAATACAACGCATAAGAGACCAAAATTGTGGTTCTTGTAGACATGTTTATTAAATATTAAAGTATTTTGTGTTTAAATTATAAAAATTGAAAAATTGTTTTAAGTTAATGGAGACGTGGCAACCTGCCGAGATAACACTTGCTCTTTTTAATCAGTGCCCTCTCTCTGTCACCGTCACTGTTTTTTGACGCACGTGAAGTTCAAAGGAGTTTTTTGAGAAGAATTTTGCTAAATTTCGAAAAAAATGTTGGCCGCAGCTCGTGTTCTCAGTCGCAAAGCCGTTGAATGCTCGAAATTTAGTTACAAGGTTGTGGGGAAAAGGAACTTCAGCTACTTGACAAACAACGTGAGTCTTTTATTTTATACTTTAAGATATTATAATTCTATATAAGTTTACTTCTAATAATCTTGTTCAAACGATTGTAGATTTGTTAGACTATTAATGATTAATACAAAAAGTCTTGAATTTTTGTTGTAAAAATGCTTTTTATCGGTTTTACGTAAGTGAGGTTATGTGGCCGGTTTCTTCCAAGGTGTTGCGTCACCTTCACGTTGTGTCTAAAATTTTATTTTATTTCAGACTTCCTCGTACACTTTACACCCGAAATATGACATCCAGACTCGTTTTAAGTAAGTATAATACATTTTAAACGAGCGTCAAAGTTATATGACTAATTTAGGTCTGAGGGAGTCAAAGGTGCCGTCATTGGCATCGATTTGGGTACCACAAACTCATGTGTTGCCGTCATGGAAGGCAAACAAGCAAAAGTAATTGAAAATTCTGAAGGTTCTCGCACAACTCCCTCAGTTGTTGCGTTTACCAAAGATGGTGAACGGTTGGTGGGAATGCCGGCAAAACGGCAAGCAGTAACTAATTCAGCCAACACATTCTATGCCACAAAACGTCTAATTGGTAGACGATTTGATGATAGTGAAGTCAAAAAAGACATGTGAGTCAATCTCATTTGTCACACTTTTCAAGCAAAATAATTTCTTACGTCTTTAGGAATAACGTTTCATACAAAATCGTCAAAGCTTCCAATGGTGATGCTTGGATACAAGGAAGTGACGGAAAAATGTATTCGCCTAGTCAGATCGGTGCCTTTATTTTGACAAAAATGAAAGAAACAGCTGAAGCTTATTTAAATACTAAAGTTAAGAATGCTGTTATCACTGTCCCAGCGTACTTTAATGACTCGCAAAGACAGGCAACGAAAGATGCTGGGCAGATTGCTGGTTTGAACGTTTTGAGAGTCATCAATGAGCCAACGGCTGCGGCTTTGGCCTACGGTATGGATAAAACTGAGGACAAAATGTAAGTTTTAATTATTAGTTTTTGATAATTTTTCAAAATTGTGTTTGAATAATCTAGAATTGCTGTTTACGATTTGGGTGGAGGTACTTTTGATATCTCAATTCTCGAAATCCAAAAAGGCGTTTTTGAAGTAAAATCGACCAATGGTGACACCTTCTTGGGTGGTGAAGACTTCGACAACGTGCTTGTCAATCATTTGGTCTCTGAATTCAAAAAAGAGCAGGGAATTGACGTGACTAAAGACGCCATGGCCATGCAACGTCTCAAAGAGGCGGCCGAGAAAGCTAAAATCGAATTGTCGTCTTCCATGCAAACGGACATCAATCTACCGTATTTGACAATGGACGCGTCAGGTCCAAAACACATGAATCTCAAATTGTCTCGCTCGAAGTTTGAAAGTCTTGTTGGTGAATTGGTCAAACGCACAGTTCAGCCGTGTCAGAAAGCTCTAAAAGATGCGGAAGTTGCCAAGAACGAAATTGGCGAAGTATTGCTCGTTGGAGGTATGACAAGAATGCCGAAAGTCCAAAGCACTGTTCAAGATATTTTCGGCAAACAACCAAGTCGTGCTGTCAATCCCGATGAAGCTGTAGCTGTCGGGGCTGCAGTTCAAGGTGGTGTTTTGGCTGGTGACGTCACCGATGTCCTTTTGTTGGATGTTACACCGCTGTCTCTTGGTATTGAGACTTTGGGAGGTGTTTTCACTAGACTAATCTCGAGAAATACAACCATTCCGACAAAGAAAAGTCAAGTTTTCTCGACCGCTGCTGATGGCCAAACACAAGTCGAAATTAAAGTACACCAAGGTGAACGTGAAATGGCTGCAGATAATAAACTTTTGGGACAATTCTCACTTGTTGGAATTCCACCAGCACCTAGAGGAGTTCCTCAAATTGAAGTAACTTTCGATATTGATGCCAACGGTATCGTTCATGTGTCGGCCAGAGACAAGGGAACAGGAAAGGAACAACAAAGTAATTTTATTGTCTTATTCTGGGTTGTTCTTCCAAATGCTTTTATTTTTTAGTTGTGATCCAATCATCTGGTGGTTTGAGCAAAGAAGAAATCGAAAATATGGTGCGCAGAGCAGAAGAATACGCCAAAGAAGATAAGATTAAAAAGGAACGAGTTGAAGCTGTCAATCAAGCTGAAGGAATTGTGCACGATACTGAGACCAAAATGGAAGAATACAAAGACCAATTGCCTAAAGAAGAGGTAAATGACTTTAATTGTATTGTGTTGAAATCGTAAAATCTTTGTTTTAGTGTGATAAATTGAAAGAAGAGATCGCTAAAGTTAGAGAAATGTTGGCGAAGAAAGACGAAACCGATCCCGAAGAAATTCGTAAAGTCACAGGCACACTTCAACAGTCATCACTTAAATTGTTTGAAATGGCTTACAAAAAGGTAATTTCTTCTTTTTTTTTTTTTGATTATTTGGTTTATTTTCTGGTTTATTGTTATTAGATGGCAGCAGATCGTGAAGGCAGTGGTGGTAGTAGCAGCAGCGGTTCTTCAGAACAACAGTCAGAGGAAACAAAAGAAAAGAAAGAAGATAAAAATTAAATAAAGTTAAATGTTTTTGTACAGACTTTAGTGACTATTTGTGATGAAGCCGAAGTTGCGTACCGTTTTCTGTTGTTGTACGTTTGGCGAGTAAATGAGATTCTAGTTAAAAAGACGGATCTTGTATCTCCTTATCGTCTCTTTAATTAGGAAAAGTGTGCGTTCATAATAAGTTTTATTTTTAATTACATGTTACTGATAGTGATACTGTGACTGTAAACCAGTTATCTGTTCTATTGTAAATTTTTAGTAATAAAAATAATTTTGTATGAATGTGTTTCAATTAAATAAAAGACTGAATAGACAAAACAAAATGGATTTTATTGATATGATGTTACAGTGATCCACAAAATGTGACATTTTTTTGAATAGTTAGCTAATTGAAACAAAATGCCCAAACATATAAGAGCACCATGAAGTATATTAAACATTTTACTGAATACCTTCAACAAAGACATTATCATCAAGCGTATGCAGCCAGTTGAAAATCATCATATTTCTTTCATACTTTGACAAGGGTTTCCCTCTTTCTCGCTCGACATCTCGTATTGTCAAAGGTAAATTTTTGCTAGCTCTTTGTTTTGCAGCTCGAAGAACCGCTGCGTTAGTACTATTTGGAGGCGGAGGATTCGCTTTGGCCGACGGACTTGAACCTGGCACTGTTAGACGGACTGGCCCAGAGGAGGAATTTTGTCCACACTCTGTGTTTACACTGGCCGTTGCTGTAGATGGAGTTATTTCTAGCCTATCTAAATTAAATTCGCTTTGAGAGAGCCGCTCAAGAGCCTTGTAAGTCGTGAGAAGTCTTCGTCTGATGTAATTTTGCCGCACCTACAATATAAGATTGGCAAGGATGGTATGCTTTATATTTCTACCAACCTTTTTATTGACGGAGCGGATGAAATCAGCTGCTGTAAAGACCGGTGGAGGCGGCGGCGTTGCTGTTTGAGGCTGAGTAGTCGCAGCGCTTTGCCCCCCATGAGGTGAGGGCAATTGTGAAGTGGAAGCGATGTCACCAACGGCCACCCATGTGGAACACGATCTGGATGTGTGGTCCAGGCGTGCATTTTCCAGGAGAAATCCAGACCGTTGTAAAGTGTTAAGAGCAAGTTCTGAGACGGCACTTCTGAGTCCTGGCACGTTTGAACCATCTTCGGGCGAGGGTAATTGACTTATGTCGCTAGTACTGAAACTCTTCTGAAGACCTACAGCAGATGACAAGGCCGCACAGCTTCTTATCAATTCAGTCTCTTCTTCAAACCAGAGGATTTCGGGGATATCTGCCGGCCTGCGCCGAAGAAAAGGCATTCTTTGAGTGAGAATAGTTACTGTTAATGAAAACCGTAAAAATAACGAAGGCTGCACTGATATTATGTCATGCTTATAAACTATGAAGGACACACATTAGAAAGTATTGTAGTCACACTTTGCAATTTCTTTGCCGGTTTGTTTTCATTTTGTCATTCATGTACTAACCTGCCCTGGAGCCTGCTATCGGGATTGGGACTGTGCCCCCTGATGTATTGGCTATCACACTTGCCGAAGCTAAGAAGGCGGCGCCCCACTTGTGCGTCGGACGCTACTGAAGACACTGAGAACAAGGATAAGTCCGTGGTCACCGATTCGTGCGATGGTGATCGCAAAATCCGACATGCAACAGTTAGCACAGGGGTTTGAGGAGTCAACTGGTTTTCGGTTGTTTCAGTTGAAGTCATCTTTGAGACAATAGTAACTGGATTACCGGCACTTTTCGGTAATTACATGACTCTAGTTTTTTGCAAAATTTGGGTGACTTTGGAAATGTGACCACTTCGCACATACACGCCCGAGTAAATCAATATTTGGCGCACCAGCGCTCTGTAGCGCCGACGTGGAAATTCAGAAGGAATTCACATATTGCAAAATTTTTGACTTTTTTACTTATTTCGAATAGTGGATACGAAAACGTTTTGGTAGGTGAAAATTTGGCGAAGCTAAAACAGTTAGTTTTTGAAAAATTTAAACCGCACTTTTGCATAATGACAAACTTAGATCTTGGAATGTCGCACACGTGGTATCAATAAAAATAGGATTAAATTAATGCGTAGGTTTGAATTACATTTTGTTTGAATCAATGTTCTTTAATCGTGCGCGAATTTTCAGCACAAATGGTGTGGAATGTAATCAATAAATTTTATTTCATGTGGTTATTTTTTTAACTTTTTATAGCCTTTCTACAGAACACTATTTCAATCAGTATTAATGGTAAAAGTGGATGTTCCCATTTAACGATTTTTTTTTATTAGAAAAGAAAAAAACTGAAAATATGTTTTAATGTTAAGAATTAATAAATGGGGAAGTAGTTTTAAAAACATCTCTTTGATGTTTTTGATGTATTGAGAGAAAAAGATATTTTAATGTTATTTATAATTATAATCTTAGAAAACCTATTCATGTTTCATATACAGATTTGTTTAGAAACAATAATTAGAATTCACGCTCCGGAGGAAAACGCCAAATAAGATAAAATACCGGGAACATGCAAAAAAAATTTTTTTTAAATTTTATCTACAGGCTGATTCAAAAAGTTCGGACCATCTCTTGAGTGGTGATAAAGGACACCCATTTAAGTTTAGTTCCCGTGACAAAAAATTGTTTGAGCCTTTTTTCACAAGATCTACTCTTCAAAGAGTAGATTTTGAGTTTTTGGCCGTTCCGATTAATGTAATCTTAAATTTAGTTAGCGTAAACGGTAGACTTTTTAAGACTGAACAAACAGATACTTGTTAAAAAAAATCACCAATTCCTTGTGTCTTATGGTATCCAAAACATTTCACAAATTAGCAAATTCAACAATAAATTAAATCTAACAACTTCGTATATAAAAAACTAAGATGCCTACATGATAATTTGAAAATTGACAGTTCAACTTGACACAAAAATCTGAATTCATTTTTATGCTTAGCTGAAAGTCTTCTGTCACCATTGGAGACTTGGTCCGACATATTTGAATCACCCTGCATAAGAATTTCGAAATTATAGGGGTTTAAACTTAGCCTTTTGACCGTAATTTCTTAAATATTTTTTCCATTTATGTTTATATACGGAATTTTCATAAAAACGTAAATATAAGACAAATATCATCTTCACGTTACTTGAATAGTTATGGCTTGAGGCGTTGTTATAATCCATATTGTATATTAGAATTAGAATGTAAAAACTACTAATATACCGAGTGTCTAGAAAAAAAAACGAATCCTGTTTGAGTCGTCATAGCTTCGGATCTTTGGAACACTTTGAGATAGCGATTTTAATTTTTGCTTTCTAAAATAATAGATTAAAATATTCCTGACAAAATTAAAAGCATGCATTTTAAAAAGAAATGGCAAATGTAATACTTATCAATTTATAAAAATCAATTTTACTTTGACTATGATTTCAATTTTGTAATTTCACTAAAAGTCTTAGTCCTATGGTTCCTCCCTTTTAGCATACATTTTTTGGTTTTTTATTCACAATCATAAAGTAATAATCAAATTATTTTGCATGTTAAAAGTTGTAAAGTGTTTCAAGTTCATGGGAGTTCAGAGGTTGGGAAGTGGTCACATCCTTATTAGTTTTCGGGTTGGGAACAACCTACGTTTTTAATTTAATGTTGCTCATTCAACAACTTCCCTGAATTCAGGAGAAGTACATTTCATTTCACGAAATTCTGAAAATTAGACCTAAACCTAGAAACTATAATATCGTGTTTCAAAGAATAAAACATTAGAATTAGTACTCTAAATTGCAAAAAAAATTGGTTAATGTGATTGACTGTCTTTTTTTACATTTTTCAAATCCGCATATTTAAAAAGTAATCCGGCTCTGTCACTGCAATTCACATGTGGCAACTTATACTCCATCTCTGTCAATGAACGGGTGAATGATGTTTAAATTCATTCTAAATCCTGAACCAACACCCTCGTCTGCGAGACTATGAATATATAAAATGTTAATCTTCTTTGTCAAACTGTTGAATGTTCCTGAATCATAAATCACATATCAGATTGCTTCTATTTGCATAATATCATTTGTATAACGCAAATGACAGTCTGTCTTGAACACGTGTTTCATGAGAGCAAGAAAAATATTTCTCTATCCAATTTTCAATTTCAAAATGCAGAAAATTGCGCTTACGTTTTTGCGATCGTATTTATTCACGTGGGTATTTTCTACATTACACTTCGCGGTCTGACCCTGTACTGGGGCGACCCTGCACTGGCCGCCCAGGAATTTACGACGTCCATTAAAATGGTGAGGAGCTACCCCGTAGATTACGTCGAACAAAGAACGGGATGATAACTTATTGTCGCATAAACGTCCTCATGCTATGCTCCACATTTTATTACGTAAGCCAGTCGGCTTTATTTTGGCGCGACCATTAAAAAATGATCGGCCCTCATTTGAATAGTTGGACTTTTACGATCAACTATTCAACAAAGGGACCTTTTGTATTTAATTTATGCTGGATAAAATTTTAATGCGGACTTACGATTTCGCTAAAGAGTTATATAACATCCAGAGCTGCGTTTTACAACCGGCGGTGTCGTAAACTTCACCCAAAATCTTTGTAATTTAATTGAATCGTTCTTTATGTATATCAGTTCTGAAACGCTACAATGAAAAGGCTTAATTGGTCATTCTTTAAGGGAAAATATACATAATTAAAAATTTTAGGACTTGTTATTAACATTCAAATTTTCCAGGTGTCCACAGCTTTTGAAAGCTCTCTACATGGAAACAAACGTTGTTACACTCTACCCAGAGATGGCAGCGGTTGGTTTATCTCAACATTTTTTAATGTTTCTTCAAAGTCATTCCCACAATAAGTGAATAATTATTACCTATAAATAATGAGAATTTCATTCATTAAAACTATTTTTTAAATAAAATTATTTTAACTTATCATTTATTGTTTATTATTAACAATGTGAATTTTTTTTAAAGTTTACATTTTTTTTATTTTAGTCTTAGTACTTTACTATTTTAAATTTTCATTAATCATCAATTTTTATTCGTTCAAACTAGTATATGTACTAGCACAGACAGACGTGTGTTTATTATTCATACACAAATGATATTCATTTGAATTGATTTTCCATCAATTACCATCTAAAAAATTTAGTGTAAATAATGGTATAGAATGGATGACCGTGTACATTAATAATATAATTTATAAGCTTGGTGATTATTTTAAAATAGCTTTAGAGAACCGTGAATTATTAACTATATTTCCCTATATTTATTTTATGCTGTAATAATTGGAAAATGCAACAATGACTACATAAAAATCATTGCTGTTTTGTCAAAAATAGTAAACTCTAATAATTAAGTAACACTAAATAGTGTTACTTTATAAAAAAAATAAAAACACTTGCTTCCTTGGAATACCATAACTCATCCATAAGAATCAAAGAGAATTTTAGTTGTTTACAACTTTCCTGTTTTTTTTTTTTTATTAATAAAAATCACTCTTAGCACAAAACAACTTTACATTTTTATGTACATATTTTTTGTTTTCAATTTTTCCATAAAAACACAAAGCTGAAAAACAAAATATTAAATATATATATTATAAACAGTGTTGTTCATCTTTTTTTTCTTATTTTCGTTACACCCTTTTAGAACACGCACAGCTAAGTGAAGGGAAAATTAGTTAATCTTTTTAATTATTTTTATAATTATCAAATTGCAGCAACTTTTGTAATTGTAGTTATTAAGAACACTGAATTATTCGAAATCGAAACAATAAGTCTTTACGAAATCAGTTCATTCCAGTCGTCGAAAATTGTGTCAAAGAAATTTCTTCATCGTCAGAGGCCATTGCTCGACGTGCTCGAAAAAATCTCGAAGGCATGAAGGTCTCGCGGGGCCCGAAACCGCTTTCTGCATTGTGTTGAATGCAACTGACATAAAAAGCTGCCAATTCAATTGTAATACATAAGCCGGTGCATCCGCCCCCAGTCCGTCATTAACTCGTCACGGAACCGATTCCATTGTCAATCTACCGCCAAAACCGCCAACTCACCGTGCAATAAACTCGACGAGGACCGGACCAAATTGCAGTTGCATGTGATTAACGACCTACCTGCAACAAATTTAGGCCATTCACCCTCACCTTGCGAGACAAAGTTGATGAAATAGGAAAGGGCAATCGTAAAAAGTGCAAAGATAAATTCGCAGCTGTGTTTACGACTGGCGTGAATGTCAGAGATGCTTTACACGTTGTTTTTTATTATATCTTGGTTGTTTAGAAGTTTAATTGAGGCGCACATGTGGAAAAAAACACCGCCGCTTAGGCTTTAGAAGATGAAAATTCCTTCAGTTCCTTAACTTATTAAAGGTTCGGTGTATAAAGGCGTCGGGACGCTCCGAGTAAATTTTAGTTAAATGTCCGCTTAATAAACGCCACGGCTAGACGTAGGATTTCATTTTTAAGAAAATTTCTTTGTTTTGAGGATATAAAACATAAATACTTTTTGTGCAAGAAATTTTGCTACTCTTGAGAAAGCTATAATATTACATCTCTTTCTCTTATATCTAAGTATTCACCGATAAAAGTTTCCGAATCAATAATTTATAACTTTAAATATCAAAGGTTTGATGAGTTTTTACAACCATAATTTTTAAATAACTTTCTTTAAAGTTAAATTAAACTTTTCAAAGGTTGAACTTTGTAAAACTTGAATAGGCACAAAATTTTCTGCTAATATAACTGATTCAGGCTTTAACATAAATACATAGAAACTTCCAAAAGCAAATTGAAAATTTTGACGTCTTATAAGAAGTAATTTGTTTTTTACAATTCAGTCTATAGGAGTACAAAATTTTACAGAATTTTGTATAAACTGCACACGTCGAGTTAATTAAGTCTTCGTATTTGGTAAAATATTAATTGTGTGCTGTCGCTTTAATAAAAAATTCCAACGTTTGTATTCCGTGCAACCGAAAAATGGGCCGGTCCGCGACAGCAGGAAGCCGATAAAATCGTGCAGGTGAAATTGCACCCTTAATGCAGCACACTAAA